CGGGGCCCGCGGGCCCTCAGGCACACGGAGGTGAAGCTGCTGCGGAAACCGGGCTGAGAAATCGGCCTGGAATGGGCCTGAAACCCGCCCTGCCCCCCCGCGCCGAAAGGGAAGCGAGGCGGGTAAGGCCGGCCCGGGGGGTGAGCCTGAGCCGAGCCCTCCGGGTGCTGCTCCCGGCACCGAGTGACCTGGCGGAGAACCTGGGGCTTAAGGAGACGGAAAGATCTTCTCCCAAACGGCCTTGTCTCATGGATGAAGTAAGGCTGATCCCCTCCCGCCCCCACCCGAAGGGTGCCTCCGCGCTACGGGCGCCGCGGCTGCTGCACTTCGCACCGGGCAGCTGCAGGGCTGGAAAGAAAAGTTACAGCAACCGTTCCCCCACCAGCGGTGCCCTGCTGCAGCCTCAGTACAGCCCGTGAGGTTATTAGTGAATCGAATTCAGCGTAGACTTTAAGTTGATTAAGCATAGGCTGGAGTAAAAAAAAAAAAAAGTAATGAACACCTTCTAATAAATTTAGTAATGCTGCCAAAACCTCATGCTTAAGGAAAAAAAAATCTAATCCCATTTTATATTCTTCTTAATCATTCTCATTCTTCATTAATAACTTGACGGGCTAGCAGTGATTCACAGACTGCTCTTCACAACGCTGCACCTCCGTGGTCACTTGTTACGCTAAGTCTCTAGGAACCACTTGAAAAAAAGAGGTTATTTGGTTATAATTAAAGACATTCTAAAAATTCTAGCTATTTATTTCAATGTACTTTTCAGATGAAGTCCACTCTATCAAAAATAAACACAACTCTTATCACAGTATTTTGTATCATCAATATATTAGTAACCGTCGAGAATCAGCCCTACTAATGGCACACGGAAAGAGTTGCCTATTAAAGTAATGAGATGAATAACAAAGTTAAAAACTTACATTTGAGAAAACATACAGATATTACTGTGAAAATAAAGACTGCACAAACAATATTTTGCATAGAGTACAGCACTGTATGGGTTTCGTGTTTATGGAAAATGTAGTTAAGAATAAAAATTCGTATTTCAGATTTCTTTACATCTGGATAAAAGTTAAGACTATTAAACTATGGAACATTCACAGGTTAGGAGAGTCAGAACTATCACACTTCCATGATTGCAAGCGTGGAAGAAAAAGGGGGCAGACCAGCTGTATCCTAATCAGTACATTATTGCACTCTCCATAAAGACCACTTTTGGAAGCTCCACGTGTCCAATTTAATGTCCTGCTGACAACAGCAGAGACCTGCAGCAAATTCCCCAGCTAAGTTTTAACCTTCCCCTTTGAAGCCCAGAACCCACAAGACACTTATACAAGCATATACTTGAGGCTTTTGCAGTAGCAGGAGCCTCAAGAACAACTTGAGAAATGGTACCTTTCCCTTTGCCACAGCTGCCATGGCTGGACTAACAAGAGTTTCTGCACTGGCAGGCTGCTGGAACTTGAGTGCCTCAACGTACAACTGTTTGGGAGGATAGTTTATTCATTTGCTGTTTTTCTCTCCAGAAATGAATGGATTTTTTTAAAAAAAATCAAGCTTGCATGAAACCTTGAACAGTTCTATTTCTGACTTTCATTTTATTGCATGTCTGGTGGAAGGAAGGCTTTTGAGAAGTAGCAGCAGCTTCACAGATTTCAGATCTACTCAACTTTTCCCATAAAATCTGACAGCAGTAGCAACCATAAAGAAACCAAAAAGTATATACAGTAATGCCAATAAAACGGTCTCATTTGGCTCTACTACAAACAGAGCACACATTTATTGCCTGATGTCCAACAATCCAAGTGTTCTTGTAAAGAAAAGGTCATTTGAAATTCCACCATTGCAAAAGCCTTGTTCACCTGACACGTTAACTCCTTCTGCCTAGCAGCACAGCTTCGTGTACAGAAGATGTAACACTTGAGGACTAGTAGCATGGTACTGCTCTACTAGTTTCTAGATTATGGTTACTTCAGTTCTGTGTCACGAAGCTGTTCGTGGAGAGTTTGTGCAACACAAGACTAAGCTTAGGCTGATTTCAGAGCCGTACAGCAGTCCTGCTATTCATCTTTGGAAGACTTAAGCAATATTATTTTCTATACCTAGATTCCTTAAAAAGAGGTTTGAGCTACTGAGCTAAGACTGCTAACCCATCAGCTTAAAACATGTAAGAGTAGGTTGAAACATGAAAACCTGACAGGAAACTAGAAGTCAGCAATGGCTTTCCAGGTGTTAATAGGTTTTTTTTTTAAAAACCAACGACATCTGAGCCCAAGACAATACCATAATTGTATCTGTTGATCTGCATTACAGTGCTCTTCAAACGAAACCACAATTCCAGTATCACTTTCTCTCAGTTCGAGGTTTAGTTCCCAGCTGCTCTCACAAACATCCTGTAAGACAGTACTGGACATGGACGGCTGGACGTGGTGCTCGAGGTTCTGCTTCTCGCTCCGAGCGAACGTGCAATTCATGTCTCTACGATCCAGTGTGGCCTCATAACTAGAGAGACGTTCCTCTTAGTCAGTGGAGGGGACGCATGCATTGCATTACTCGACACGTAGGCTGCCTCCCTTGAGGCATGCAGCCAGCTTCGCTTCCTTTTAAGATTTCCTACGAACGCTCTAAGATACAAAAACTCCATTCTCAGGAAGTTTTCCCTGGTCACGTCTCTGGAAGCCACTGTTATCCTGACCAGCTGGTCCAACACCTTATTCTTCTTGCAGCTGGATAACTCTTTGAGGTTGATAGGCTTTGACCGTGCATAAAGAATCCGAAATTCCAGGTCAAAGTGTGCAACTGCAGGGCCTGACAGGATCAAAATGTTGCTGCTGTTCAGCTTCCCATCTGTCCATGTAAAACTAGCAAAGGAAGAATGAGAAAAATCTGAGTTAATTCAAAATAAATAGTAAACAAAGTGTTAACTGAAAATTCTCTATCATCACGTTCAGTTAAATCATTCTTACAATCCAAATGATGAGCAGCATGCTCTTTTCAGGACAAACGTTACACACAAACTGTGATAAAGAAAGCGGTTTTGCAACATGGCTGCTTTTCCTTTCCGTGTAAAGAAATCCTCTTAAGCAACAGAAAGAAATGGGCACTTGCCTGTAGGAGCCTGTTGTCACTCTAATGCCATCGATTAACATGAACTTTTCACGGACTTTTCCAACAATTTTAGCACCTGACCTCGTGTAGTATGTGTTCCCCGTGATATTGCGAATTCTCATCAACTGTTAAAGACATGGCAAGCATCAAAGTTACATGATTGCATTTAAAGGAGTAACACACAACAGCAACGCTCACTGATGAAGGCTGCTGTGCAGTGGCACAAGATTCACCCTCTAGCAATCAAATGATAGTTTTGTCTTGTTTTAGTAGGCAAAGAGGTGGCATTCAGGGGCAAACCCATGAACTGATTGTGCAGAATGTGACTGTAAAAACTCCTGTTGCCTAATCTTGGAGGGACCCGAACTCCACAGACTCCTGAGAACCTGCTTCTCCATCAGCCTTCAAAGTCTTGGCAAGCCTGAGCAACTCCAGTCATGCTTTAGGAACTGGACATTCCTTTCCTGCTGCATTTCCTGGAATATTCCATTAGTATTTGTGCTCAGAAAGCACCTGTAACATGCACTTAGAAAGACTTCAGTTTTTCTGTTAATTGCCTTCTCATGCAAGAATCGTTAAATCTTCCAAGAAAGAGCTAGAGCTACATAAACCCATTTTAAGTTGTGGCATCAGGCGTAATAGTTTCTTCTTTTGACAGCTCAAAGACTTCAGTCATAAGAGGATGAACTCTCCATCCCTATAAATAGCACAAGGCTCACCTTTTCCTGTTCCAGGTCAACTCCCAGATCCTTGCACATTTTTAGAAAGTGGGAAAACGAGGACTGATCTAGAAGGATATATGCTTTTACTTGCCGCTGGCTACAGGCTTCCAAGAGGTCTTTGAAGATATCGGTGTCTGTGAAGGAATCCATAACCAGGGCAATCATCTGCAACAAGTGTCAGAAGAAATCATTAGGCTGTTTCCACAGCATCCCAAGGGAGATGGCACATGAGGAATCTGACTTTCAAATTAAATATTTCCCCCCATTTTTTTTTTCCTGGTGGTTATGGAACATGGTAGACTCTTCTGTGATACAGCATATTCCTCTGTTGAACACAGGGCTGTTGAAACATTTAACAGACTTGTAAGAAAGAGAAGAGAAAGGAAAAAATAACTGATTAGAATAGAGTTCTGTGAAGAGAATGGTATTTTGGGAAGGGTGATAACTGAGTACAGTACACCAAGGCACAGGAGACACAATATACATTGGCCCTTCACTGTCGTCACTTATTCATGTTGCTGTATAGTTAAAAAGAAAAAAAAATATTGAATTTATGGACAGAAATTGTTGTTAAAAATTATTTGCCCAAATTTTATTGTCGCTTGACTGATTTATAGCAGATAACATAATTTAAGATTTTTATTATGGCATTGTAGAATTTAATTTTTTACTACAATTTCAGCAGCAGATATAGAAGCTTCTTTTGCCAGGATCTGTGTATTTTTTGTTCAATAGATATGAACAACCTAGCCTGAAAGCCTGTTGTGGAAAGACACCTTTTCTCTCTCTAAAAATCAGAGTTCATCATTAATTAGCAGCAATGATAGCTCCTGCATCTATTCAGTAGCACATTGCTCATGGTTTTCAATTAAGGCTGTACTAAAGCCTTCCCTTTTTTACTATGTAACTTCACCTTCAAGAAAAAATTACAGAAACCTGAGCACATTCTCCTTTCTGCCCAACTCTAGAGCAGTGCCAAGACCTACGAAGGCAGAGGCAGACTCAGCACCTCTCCAAAACCCTCAGTGAGCTGAGAGAAAAAGAATTTTGCATGAAGAAAAGAAAGACATTTTGCTGTCAGTCTTCGTCAGCTACGTCAGTAACTTTTGGTGTAACAGGAGCACCGAGTTGATCGTGGAGATGTTTGGGGGGCTGAGGATATCCCTGAAGAACCAGAACAGTAGAAAACAAATGCATTGCTTCAGGCTTCTTCCTCACCCTGAGGTATGGCAAAACCAGGGGTCTAGTTCTGTGTTAGACAAATTTGGTCTCCAGTTCCTAAGCAAGAGGTTTTTTTCCTGAGAACAGATGTCTTTTCCTCAAAAGCACTGCCTGAAGAAAAAAGGTGAGCTTATTTCAAAAACGGAAGTTTTCCAGAGTCTTTCAAACTTTTCAAATATGAAAGTGAAAACAAAAATACAATTCACCAGTGCCCGACTGCTCTTTACACCTCGCCTCCCTATCTAGGATAAAACTGAAGCTTGTCTTTTAACGTCTCATTGAGATTCTCATGATATTCCAAGCCAAGATCTGATTATTCGCCCAAGCTCCTTGTGTAAAACCCCCCGTGAGAGCCAGCTCCTGCCCTCGCAGACCTGTGCCAGGGGCTGAACCCCTGAGGTTCGCTGCGGACCCGCTGCTCCATCTGGAAGCAACGCCTGCTTAAAAGGGCTGGGAACGTTTTAGATCTATCGCTCCCAGGTGCCAACTCCTCGAGCGAGCTCAGGGAGGCTCGGATAGCACGGACTCGGTTTTCATCAATCTGGGAGTAAAAAAAGCTTGAAAATGATGAACCTACTGAAAAAATAAATACAAAAGATGTGGGGGGACAATAACAAAATAGAAGAGTGAGTAAAATCGGGAGTTTATTTAAAAGTCAATGAAAGGGGGGAAGGACGAGGTGGCTCTCAGGGAGCGGTGCGGAAGGAGGGGAGCGAGTCCTCCCGCGCAGCGGGGCGCAGCGGGGCGCAGCGGGGCGCAGCGGG